TTTCAATGTTTAATTAAGAAGTGGGCTAATGAGGAAGAAATAGCAGTAGCTGGTTGGGGGCACTTAGGTAAGTTTGAATATAAATATGTAATATCACTTTCATGTTTACATTTATGCATGTATATATATATATATATATCCATTTACATTTATATGTGTAAATATGTAATATCACATTCCACAGTGCTGCAACCCACTTGGTGGATTTTTCTACAAGTATAATTTCAGCAGTCAGCCTCAGTCTTGTCTCTTCCCCTCTCCATAGAGCAGACACCTTACCTCAAAGAATAATTACTTGCTATGGTGATTTCTAAATTACTGGATCCATGGAGCCTACTTAACCTAATGCAAAAGGTCCTTTTTTCTTCCCCACTTTCCTCATTACCGAAGGAGAACATTTTGGCCCCAACAATGGCTGTATACATCAGCCCTGATTTATTAAGTTTAGAGGATTTGCACTGTTGTTTTACAAAATGGTGTCAACTTGCAGCATGACTCTATTTGATGATGAATAGCTTTCCCAGGCCAAAGAGCTAATGACATCCAGAGCCCCCGTGCCTCCCACACTCCTGCGGTCCGAAAGGCCACGGATAATTTCTGCCCAATCAAGCCCATAAAGAGAGAATTTATAATCAGCTTTAATGTATTTGGGAGCTAAAGTACCTTAGTCCTTCATCAAAGGGAATGATAAAAACCAGAATTAATATGGCTGGATTTAATTATTTCTGAGTGCATAATTACTCTTTAGCTAACTGGACAGGTGGTATGTTATTTCTCTTATTTTGAGCAAAGGAAAGGCATCTGCAAGCACACAGTACTCACTGTCAAGGTCTAAAAATGCAGCCTGTTAGTGCCTTAGCATTGATTGCAATACAAACAGAATAAATATTTGAATAATAATTTAAATAATGCAAAAGCTATTTTTAAATTAAATGAGTATAGGCTTCGTTAGGAGTGCCTCCTGCTCTCTGAGTTTCTTTGGCTTTTGTAGTGAGACTGTTCCTTGCCTTTAGGAAACATAAAATGCAGTAATCACTTTTTTCCCCCCTTTTTAAAGTGACTTAGGGGTCTAATTTCCCATTAGCATTAATGAGAGTTATGGGTATGCACCAACATGAGACTAAATGAGACAAAACCTTAGAGAGCCTTTTGATAAGTAAATCATCTTTGCATCAGCATTTTAGAGGCTTTAATATCCTCTTTCCCCCCCATTAGTTATGGTACCTATTACTTTGTTGATATTTAATATTTATTACATAAACTTTAGCTAAAATCTAGGTTGACATAGTATGGCAGATTATCTGTTTGAAGGCTTGTGAGTTAAACATAGTAAAATCCTTTTTTTATAATGGATGCCCATATTTGAAAGTGAAATGCTCAGAAAGTAAGATTAATTGGGCCTTCACAAAAGGTGAAAAGAAGGCTACAGCAGAACAACAGTGAAAAGTAACTTGGGACAAAATACTTCTGGCAATCACAGTTTTGGAAAATATTCCTTTTTGTTTCATTGGCCCATAGTCCATTATGTCTTAATATTAATATTCTTCAAATTAGTTTCTGTTACCTGAAAAGAATAATAAAATGATGGAAGAACTCTAAAAAATTATGTATTGAATGAACAGTCAGTGCTAAAGAAATTAACCTAGTTGAGGGGATGCATTTAATTTACAAAATCATAAACTGTTTATCTGCTTGTGATTTCAGCGTGTTTTCCTGTGTGAGGACTCAAAACATCAATCTTTCTTTATGATCATCCAGACACAGCGAGGCTGTTAGTCAGAGTAATCAGTTATCTGGAGAATCAGAAGCAAAAGCCATTTCTTACTGATTTGAGAATGAGAGTTATTGCTGAAAGGGGTGGAATTCTAATCCAGAGCTTCTCTTAATACCACTTTCATGACTTCAGGAAGTGTCTTCAGCATCTGCAGGTGGAGCAGGCAGCGCAGATCAGAACAGCTCTGCCTCCTCTCGAGGGGCTGAACCCCTCCAGGCTGCCCTGTGCACAGAGGCTCTTGAGCTGATGCTTCTTTTAGGGATTGCCCAGCAATTAAAAAAGAGAAATTAAGCCTCACAGCACCCCTGTGTGTTTAGATAAAATATAAGGAGGTTCATGCCTGCTACATGAGGGCTAAACTCTGCTTTGGTTTCTTGGACTCAGGGCATTATAGTTCCAGGAAGCAGAAAATCTCTCTGTAATAAGTGTTGTCCATCATATTTGCAGGCTGGAGTGAACTTGTGGGAGAAATAATCTCTCCTGTGTTTCCCAGGCACTGTGAGTGGTGCCTGGTGGCTCTGCCACGTGTCTCCACAGGGATGAGTCCTCCTGCTTGGGGGGACGTGGGGAGCAGAGCCCTTGTATTGTGAAACACATCTACTGCTATATTAAAAAACATGTTTAATTTATGACAGCTTAAAAATAGGTCAGCCCCTTTGCAAGAAGGAATTGTCAAGCAGTGGAAGAGGCTGCCCAGGGAAGTGTTTGAGTCACCATCCCTGGAGGTATTTAAAAGATGTGTGAGTGTGGCTCCTGGGGACACGGCTTAGCAGCTGCCTTGGCAGTGCTGGGTTACTGCCTGGGCTAGATCTTAAGGGTCTTTTCCAACATAAACAATTCTATGATTTGAAGGAAGATGGTCTGATTTTTTTTAAAAATGTTTTTCAGAGAACCTCAGAACTGTATAAACATGGAAATTATCCAGATTATTTTTAAAGCTAGCCCCAGTCATGCTTTACCATATTGTAAAATCAGAAATAGTATGAGGCCAGACATTTATATTGAGATGGTTGATGCACTTTGTAATTGAAGTTGAGATCTGGAACCATGATCTACACAAAATACCTGCCAAAGGGCAGTTATTAAAAAAAAATGTCACATACATTGTCTTGGTTTCATCTAGAAAATAAATTGCCCATCTCTATGCAAGTTATTTGGAGAAATGTGTGTTGTTTGCCTTTCCAGATGCCACTTTGCCCCTTTCTGGTGACTTTTAAAATTTAAAATCTAAGAAGCTATTAAGAACATATGTGTGTGTGTATAAATATATATTTTTATATATATATACTTGCTTCTGCCTGCATCTCCATTCTTAAGTACACAGCTCTTGCCCTTCTTAAATTCAATCTTCCTGTTTTCTATGCTGAAAACCCATCATAAAATTACTGTAATTCTTTTCACAGAGTTTTTATATTTCTGATTTTATTCTTTTAGAAGTAAAGTCGTTATTGTCTGAAAATGCTGGGCTGAGAGATATTTGAATGTGTGTGTTTGGATCAGGGCACATTACCCAGACACCAAATATTGCAAATATCCAGGGCTTGTAGTAGGAAAAACTCGCACCATCAAGGCTTTCAGCTGAGCAGAGTGATTGTTAGAGGTGTGATTATAAAAATGCTCATGTTTTATTTACGATGTATAATTCCAGTGTTCTGTATTTAGAATGAGTTAAAAACTATACTCCTGGCTGATGCAGGAATTAAGGTATTGAGCTTTGGTTTTCAATAATATGGTCCAGTTCCTACATTCACAGTTAAAGTCTCATGGTACTTCATGGTTTTTTTTTTCTGTTTCTTAAATCCATGCAACTGGTAAAAACATTTTATGATTTTTTTTTTTTAAAAAACGCATCACTCAAATACATGGTGTTTTGCCTATAAATGACAAGTTCAATGCTGAATGACTAAAATCCTGTAAAATAACAGAGAGCTTTTTAAATACAAATGTTTTAATACTCCACAGTGCTTAGATTTAATGCATGTCTCTTGCCTACATCTACTGCAAATATCAACACATACTGTTCATCTCTTTTTTGTTGTTGTTTTTGTCTATTGCTATTTTATGCATGAGGAAGTTCTTGTTTTCTACTCTGTGCTTGGCTGGCTTTTTCTTTTTTTGTTACTTAGCCCTGTGTTCGTACTGATTGCTTTTTCGCATGCAAATTACAGAATGTCATGGAAATGAGAGAGCTCTGAAAAAAAAAAAGGAAAGATAATGCTGAGTTCCAACTGTCTTTTGTTTGTGCGTAAGTGTGTAAAATATATGACATGGAAATATTATCAGAGTGGCCTTTGACTTTCCTTCTGGTGTATATTTTTATTACTCAGTAAAGGAATGGGCATTTTTCCCATTGGAAAATATGATAACTCTATAAATACTAATACTTTTAATAATACAGGTGCTGGGCATAAAGGAATTTTCTGTCATCCTCCTTTTATGGAGGTAAGGAATTATGAACCTAGATGCCTTGCCCAAGCTAAAATTTCAATTCAATGCAATTTTTTTTTGCATGAAACTCTGGCCCCGTTGAAACCAATGGCAAAAGTCATTGTCTTCATTTGGTCTGGGATTTCACTCTTGTTTCTGGTTTACATATGGATTTTCATGTTTCCTTACAAATATCTCAGCAGGTAGTCAAAGGTTTCAAGGGTATCTACGGCTCTGTTTTAAAGAGAATGTGATGAATGTGTCAAAACCCCCCAAAAATTAAACCCAGGCTTATCTTTATATAAAGCATGAGTTTAAATGGTTGAATTTAAAAATGTGAATTAGCATTTGACAGAAAATATTGTTTTAACCAATTGTCAAGACTTTTATTAACCACCTTATTGCATCAAATGCAAGACGTAATTTGGCAGTTCTTGTCTCCACTATTCCTAATAACAGCAACAGGAAAAAACCAATTAAATGAAGTGGATAAATACAATCCATGGCGGGGTATGCTTTTAGTAAACAAGCTTTGATTCTTCATTTAAAAACAATAAAGCACTGGGCACTCTCTGATTCTTGTGCTAGATGTTTCTAATAGCCATACCCCCTAGGGAAGGTTTTGCTGTAATATTTGAAAAACTTAATGAAAAATGGGTTGTTATAAACTAAGATTTCCCTCCCTGCAAATGTTTTTCTTGAAACGTCCGTGGGAATTTAATATTCACTGTTTTTTTCCTCAGTCTTGTATATTCTTGAATTGTCTTTTTTCCTCCATTTTCTCCGTTCTTAATCCTAGGTCCCCTTACAAAGAAACAGACAGATGATTTAGGTGATAATGAAGGTGCTGAAGATGAAGGTATTTTTTGCCGCCAAACTGATTTGCATGACAAGGATCCCTGAAAATCTTTTTTCTCCCCTCTTTTTTTGACTTCTTGTCTTCTTTTGAAGAGTTTTTTTGTTTTTTTAATTCCCATTTTTGATGTGTTTTGTCTTCTTGCTTGTTGTTATACATATATATTTTTAATTTTTTAAAAGAAAGAATGTTGTTAAGTTCTACGTTTTGCTACAAAACAGTAACAATATTTAAAAAGGAGGGTTTTTTGTTTTCTTGAAATGGACTTTTGATATGTTGCATCCCACCTTTTGACTGAATTTTGTCCATACTATTTAAACTAACACTCTTTTAAAGTTTCTCTGTACACCTTTTTGCATGTTTTCTAACCCTATGTATTTCACCAAGTACAAAGATGTTTCTTTTTTTTTTCACTGACTGATCTCAGTTTGATAAACATAGAAAATGTTGTGTTTAAAAAAGGAAAAATTCAGAAAATTCCTTAAAAGTGTCTCTTAAGCAACCGAATTTCCCCAAATGCCAACCCATCTGCATTTATGCTGCAACAAAAAAATATAAATAAATTAAAGGCTACCCCACCTCCCTCCAGAAGGGAGGCAGCATTGCCAGCTGGTGAAGCTCTGTGGAGCTAAACTAAAACTAAAAGAACCTGATGTCTTCTGTTTTCTGCAAACATACAAAGATGCTGATCTGCTTGAGCTGACCCTTAGAAAACCCTATTACCAAGTAAAATCCAAAGTTTGAAATGTCAAGCATATTATTCTGTTCATAAATTATGTCTGTTGATCATGAAGCTATGCAGATTTGATATTTTTTCAGGGCTATGAAAATGGTAACAAGGGGCTCTTTTTCCTGAGCAGTCTCATCCCTTCAAGTAGATGTGCTTCAGAGTTCTGAATCTTAAACACACACTTTGTATGGTTTATGGTCAATGAGTAAAAGAAATTACCATATGGGAGAGGTGGAGTTGCTGCTTGCAGCTCTCTTAATATTTGGGGTGTCGGGGGACGTTGGCCAGATACTAAATGAAACTTGTAGGCTGGAAGGCTCTTAATTAAAAAGTTTTTCATCACACAGAACATCAACTACTTAACTTAAACAGGAGCACACAGTCTTTTTAGAGCAGATTAAGGAAGGAAAATTTGAGCATTTAACTTCTTACCCAGTAACTGAACACAGATTTTGTCACAATTTTATGATTGATTTATGATCCTTTACTGGATCTGTATGTTAAAGCATACAAATGAAAGCCCACCAGCTGGGCCAAAATTTGCAAGATTTGATGATTTTGATAAATTGAAAATCTCCTTTGAAAGCTCTCCTGTGGTGGCTTGAGGCAGCAGGCAGCTAGACAGCACTGAGCCAGTCACTTACTCCTCCCTGGGGGAGAGAACTGGGGAAGGAAATATAAAAGTAAAATCATTAATTGATATAAAGACAGTTTAATACGATGGAAATGAAATGAAATAATAGGAATAACTGTGATAAAGAAATGAGGATATGCCAAACATGTGGTGCACAGAGGAATTGCTCATGGCCCCTGGCTGAGGCTCAGCAGCTCCTGAGCGGTGACCCCCAGCCAGCTTCCCCCCAGGTCACATGCTGAACATGATGCCACAGGATAAGGAATATCTGGAATATCCCTTTGGCCTGTTGGGCTCAGCTGTCCTGGCTCTGTTCCCTCCTAACCTTGCCTTGCTGTGAGCACTGCTCAGCAACAACTTCAAAATCAGTGTGTTATCAACATTATTCTCACCCTACGTGCACAAATTAACTCCATCCCAGCTGAAATCAGGCCACACTATTCAGAGCTAATTATGACAATTGAGATTCTCGTAGGTTTATGAAGTCAGGACATTTTTGCAAGAGTCCAGGGTAGAATATTGCAAGGGATATTCTTATGAAATCTCAAAGATCTGCAATAGTGAATCAGCCATTACAAAAATTGCTCTGTCTCGTTTGAACAAACAAGAAACCACTTGAAATTTGGGCTATTCACCCAGTGGGCCTCAGTAGCTCTCCTAAATTCCTGTATAATTGCCAAGACAGATGCTAATGACATCGGATTTGTTGAGTCCTTCTCTGCTTAGACAGACTTCAAAGAGCCTCCTCAGTTTACTGAAATTCAGCAGAGAGTGGTTGCTGTCAGAAAGTGCTTTAGTAGGTAGGCTCAGAGGAGAGGAGGGATCTCAGTCTGCTGAGAACAAGTGTCCATGTCAGGGAAAACCTGTCTCCCTCTCTGACAATTGCAGGAGAGAGAATAAGGACTGTAAGAACACTGCAGTCAAACTAGGGGGGAAGAGAACATTTACAACACTAATAAATCTCTGTAATTTATAGGACTGGGATTAATTTTCTCTGGCATACAAGTGACAGTTTTGTTCTCCTTTCCATGCCAATAGAAGAGTGCAGGCAGTAATTAGACTTTTACTGCTTCCGAGAGGCACAGAGAGACAGGGAAAATTTAAATTTTTATGATCACTAGACACTCTAGACTGCTGGGTTTTCAGCTGGGTTGATAGAAGCCCTGTCTGCTGAGACCCTGCATTTCCCAGGGGAGGAGCAGGATCAGAAGTCCTGCATTTTTGTGAACCTGCTCCTCTGTATTGAAGCTCTAGAACTTGTTGCACGTGCAGAACTGAAGAGTTCACAAACTCAGCTATATGAGTTTGGGTATGAGTAGCAGGAAAGAGACAGGACAAGCAAAAGGTCACCTTAGCTCTCTAGTTTTCTGCTAACCTGTCATTCAAAGCCTTCACTTTTTGTAGGATGGTTGATTTTAGGCACTGTAAAATCCTTCAAATGAATAGCTGTGGGGAAAAAAAAAGCTGAAGTGAATGAATGATGAAATTGGAGCATTAGGGACTGGGCTGTACATGTGCAAAACAACTTGTCAGATATCCATAGAGTCCATGTTACATAAACAATGCCCAGAGATTTCTAAAATAACTAGGATGATCTCTACATCAAAAAATCCAGAGATCTCAGGTCTGTTTATTGTATTCTATCTTTCTGAAGAAAGAGGTCCCATAGCAGCTTCTTGTAGGAAACATCTGGAGAACATTTTGTGTTGTGCCACTCAAATATCTGAGTTTGATTAGAAGATTTCATTTTAAAACACTGTTCAATAATCCTACTCCCATCAGCTGCTGCCATTACCACAGCATTGGTGCAAACCTTGCCAGCACAAGCACTGGAGTCAGTAATCAAACTTGGATCTCTGGTATGTGCTGCAACCACTAGACCAGGCTTAATTAGATCATTTTTCATTTTTGTTTTCAAAAGAGCCAAAGGCAGTAGTGCACATTACCAGCTAATGATCTATTTGCTGTTTAAAAAATGAAGGTGTTTTCAAATTCTATGAGTGTGAAAAGTCAGAAATAATATAAATGCCTTTTTTTTTCCCTCCAGTCTGGATGCATTCTTCTTTCTGTTTAACCCTTTCATTCCTACACTTCTACTGCTTACCTTTTTTCAGTAAATATTGAATGACTTGAGCAGGCACCAAAAACAAGAGTGGCAAAAGCAGTTGCAAGCAGTGAGCACTGGGGCTTTCCCTCTTTAGAGCAGTGGTGGGTTTGCCCATCTTCTGACCTGCAGTGTAGATGAAAAATTTATCTTCAAATTGTTCAGCAGTTACACAAAATGTACCTTCCCCAGTCTGGAAACAAGGCTTAGTTTTAAAAAGTAAAATATTATAATCTTATTGTCTTGTCTTAGTCTTAATTTTGGTCAGGTAATAATTTAATTTGGCTATAGCAAAAAATCAGTGACTCTTAGGCAACCTTAGTTCCTATCCACTAAAATCCTAAGCACGACCTAAATTTTGGCAACACAAATCATTAACCAGCCAATGTACTCTGGGATCAGAACTGGACTTGTAAGTAGTTAGTGTTCTACGAAATATCCATGAAGGATTGCTCCCAAATGAATTCTCATCCACTGCTCTATCATACACACCTTGCCTGGCACATCAATCTGTCAATCTTAAATCCTTATTTAGTCCCCAGTGCTGTTTGAGCATCTCAGTTTTTAATGTATTCAGGCTCACAGCATCCCTCTGCAATAGAGGAATGCTGCTATTCCATTTTTAGAAAGGAAGAATACAGATGCCAAGTCTGAGGAATGCAGACACCATGTCTGTTGCTGAGAGTACATGCCTCAGAAGTGGGGTCTGCACTGTAGTTGATAGATGCTTCTGCTCTTCCCTCCTCCCTTCCAATTTCTCCTGTGGAAAAGGAGACAGATTAGGAGCAGATGTTGCTGTTTGCTCACAGCCTGTAACTGTGATGATTCTGATAATTTAGTCTGGTGCTCTCTCTTGTATGGGCTATTGGACTTCTTTGACAGAAGGAAGTTCTTGGTCTAGAGCATGTTTTAAATCAAAAATGCCAAAAATCAACTCAAAGTTGCTAATGATGCAGAATTCATCTGCAAATCCCTTCTTACGCTTAACAGACTGCAGTGCCACTGGTGAGAAGGAGCACATTGCAGAGTTGAGGCTCTCCAAAAGCCCCTGTCACTCCATTGGTACTAAAATACACTGAGATGCCAAGTTTGGCATTTCTTCTGCCTTCAGCTGTCGTGGCAAGAAGGAGGGGGAGCAACACTCTTCCTGTCTGGCACTGCTTGCACGTTTTTGGACTTGGGAGATCAGCAAAGAGCAGAACACATTCGTCTGCCCTGCAAAGCAACCACATGCTCCAGCCTTAATTATAGCCCTTAATGAGAGCCAGCCAGGCTGGGGTAGCACAGATCTGACCACTTTGGGTGAGCTTTTTGACTGATGCACACAGCCAAATTCATGATTCCTGTTCCTCCTGTCACCCATTCATGTTAGCTCCGTGATTTCCTCTCCAACGCACAGATTCCAACACCACTTGCACTTTAAATTGTGCTGATTTTATTTTCCCTTTACACACAGTTCAAATTGTGTCAAATTTTTGTGGTGATGTTATTAATACTTGAAAACATGCATGATAAAATTCTGACAGACCTTTAATTTAAGTACCTCTTTAGGGCTTCATTTTACTTTCAGCACTGCCAAGCGTTGCTTGTACAGTGAAGAGTCTGTCAGCTTTTGCATTTCTAACCATCACCCTTTAATAATTTAAAATGACTGCCTACCTGGCTATTGAGGTCCTGCTCTAATGGGAATCTGCTCCAGATGTTTACCTGTAAAAGCTTTGGCCTTTTTCATGCTAGGATAACATTCATACAGTCCTCCATCAAGATCTCAAATAATTTTCAGGTAAAGGTAGTTAAGGGTTTGAGAGTGCACAAAATGATCCCCTGGTTTGACAGATAGGAAAACAAACAAAGGGAGAGAATTCTATTTGTCTGAAGCCTGAGGGATGCAGGCTGTATTTTAAAATAGAAAACATATCTGAAATGCCTCACAGAAGCTCAATAGTTGCTTTAATAGTCTTGGAACTAGACTTTAATAGTCTAGTTTTATATCTCATTTTAAAAATGTGGCATTAATGGATGTTTACATATTAGGACTAAGTGCACTACTTTATTAAATGGTAGTGCAACTATAAGGCATCCGATGGATTTGAACTGAAAGGTCAAATGCTGTTAAAAGGCTTTAAAATTATTAAGAGTAGCAATGATTGGTACCATGCTCTACTTAAATATTTTCTAGAAAGGCTTATGGAAGAGTTGCACACATATCCACATACCCACATTACATTCTTTGGAGGACACACACAGGTTTTTCACTAACCAATCTAAAAGTTTTCCACTGTTCTGGGCCTGTTTCATGTTCAAAACCCAAAATTTACTTAACAATCTGCATCAAGCTGTCACAATTTTTTATGCCATCTAGAAAAGCAATGCTTGTGACATGGGTGCTAAATTAATTATCTTTTTGTGTGAAGTTGCCTCCAGGCGGGCTTTTTTCCATTCCCATTTTGGTTGTGCCCTGCAAATTATATTTGTTAAGTCACGTGGCCAATTCACAGCAGTTTTGAATGATTGAAGCTATAATTATATTTTGTTACATATGACAATTGTGACTGATATTCACAGTCAGACCTGGTTGCCTGTTGTGTGATGTAACAAACACAGAATGAAAGTTAGCCCTATTCCTAAATTGTCTGTAAAGACAATTGTAAAGGTGGGACATAAAAAATAGATGCAACAAACATAAGAAAGGTACAGAATAGAAGTGATAATATAAATAATTACAAGAAAGTTAATGTATTTGTAATATAAATAAGGTTAATCCTCTGCTGTACAGTAAGATCTACTTAGAGGTTTGATGAACTAGCAATTTAAAGCCAAACAAATCACAGCTCCCAAAAATGATCTTCTGTGTGACTGAAACCAGAGCTGACTTGAATTTGAGAAGGATTTTTAGCTGTGCTATCCTTGCATATGTCTTTGAAAAGATGAATGTGTCCATTTTTAATTAAAGCAACACTTAATAAAAAGCAACAAAAGTGCAGAACACAACTAAATTAAATCAGTCTATAAATCTACCCTTGGCAGAAATGCCATATTTACACCTAAAGTCTTCAGGTTCAGAATGAGCCACAAACACAAACAATTAATCTGCATCCATGAATAACTATTAATCTGCATATGAAAGTGTAACTACATTGTCCTGAGATCACTCCAGCACATGCACAGAAAGCCAGTAGGAAAAAATGAAAGATGTATCATTTATGGTCAGGTTATGAAAAGTATATTTGAGTACCAAAACCATAAATTATTTACTTCACTGAGTTGGACACTTAACTTCAATAACCACCTTTTTAAAGTACATTTTTCTGCCACTTTTGTACCAATACACAAAAGTGTTCTCCTCACAGAGTATTATTTTAATTCTCCTTCCAGTTTAGTTTTAAAGGATGAGAGTTTTCATGGAGGAACATTTTAAGGTAGGAATAAATTCTTGATTATAATCTGATTTTTTTCTCTCTTACTTCAATCGTATCAGTTAATAATCTCAGTTGTTAATAATATATGTATTTAAACAACACTCTCCCAGCTGAATATTTGCACCTTTCAAATATTCCTGGCTATAGACTGCAATTGATACAAAATCTCTGACCAAAGTGCAGTGATCTTTTTTCCCATGAAGAGCTCCACAGCTCTGTATAATCCATAGCCCAAAGCCCCACCAGCCTCAGCTGAATTCTGCACACCCTGAGTGATGTCTCCAGCACTAAATCGCTGCCCAAGACACTCAGATGCACAGTTTTTCTTTTGTAAGAGGGATTCCTCTTAAGACTGATGACTTTGGTAAAGAAAATTCATTCTGCATGTCATTTGGCCTGACATGGCACAGAGGCAGAGCTGGAAACTGGCCTTCCTTATCCATCTGATCTGTAATCTCTACAAGGATATTAGTAGTAGAAAATAACAGTATTGTAGAGACAGAAATTACTCAAATAATAACTTCCTTATATATGAGATTTTATTCATGAATATGGGCTTCCTTTCTCAGATAAACGACACCCATTCTTTTCTAAATATTCCATTATTTTTCAGATATACAGGCCAGTTCTACCAACATTTCATTGCTGTTCACTGTTGGTGCTCTCTAATTCTATGTAATTTTAATTAAAGAAGAATTCTGAGACAGTCTCCCCCTGTGTTACCATCAAGCATACAATTAACTGTGTACAATTTCTGCTGGGAACAGTCACACAGTGATTTCAGATTAATAATTTATTATTGCTTCCATATTTGTATAAAAAAAATAGAAAAGGCAGCACAGACTAACAAAACATCTACTGAAACTGCATATGAATTTGGAAAGATTTTTTCCACAGTTTAGATTTTAAACCTGAGGAGCTCAAAACTCCATCCTATGGACAGTGAAGATAAATAATCTGTAGCTTTACACTCCAAGCTGCGTGTTGGAAAGCCCTCACTAAAGGCTCAATCAAGAAAAGCAATACAAGCAATTTCATGCACAACCTTTCATCATCTCTTTGGTGTTGAATAAGTGATTGTTCTAGCACTTCCAGTATTGAAGATCCAATTTCTGATCTCGACTGTCCTGGCATTTTCTTCAAATTAGAATCAATATCAAAATAATCGTAGCAGTTGGCTTTTTATAAACAGAAACCTCTGTGCTGATGCTTTCCAGCAAATTCCAAAAGCAGGGTTTTTTGTGTAGCTGCCCCCTCCTGCTCCTTACAGTGCTTCAGAAACAATTCCAGCAGTTCTGCAGAGAGCTCCCTTGAAAGCTTCTTAACTAAGATCCTTCCCAATCAAAGGAATAAACAATACATCTGAGGTTTCTTCTAGCACTAAAGGAAGCAACCAGAGAAGTCACTTGAATGCTGTCATAATGGCAAAAAAAAAAAAAGTGTTTTTGAATCAGAATATTCAGAACAGTTCATCACTGGGAAATTTTCCTAGGCTCTCTTGTTATTGTCTTTCTTGATTTTGAGGGACTATTATGGCATATTATGATCTGTGCCGTGAAAGAGACTCAGGCACCCAGTAAATCAGAACAAAATGCAATTTAATCAGATGTAAGAGTTTAAATTTACACCTAAGCTGATTTATTTCCTGTCCAACTTTTAAAAACATATCAGCCCAAACTAACTGCTTTGAATTGGTACTCAGGAACAATTCTCCTCAAGACGAGTAGCACTGTTCATATATTCAAATTTTTTTTCCTGAGGAGATGCATCCGTTTGCAAATAGGACTGTTTTGGGGTGGAGGGATACCTAAATAAAAAAAACAGTGTGACAATATCTAATTTTGTTGTCAGAGAGAAAGGCAGAGCTTCTAACATTTTAAATCTGTTCCCTGCCTTTGATGTCACTTTTGAGAATCTCACAATTTTTTTGAATACAGGGTGGGAATTTTTGAGTATTGTTCCAGGCAGTTTTTTCAAATATTCAGTCTTTTTCATGATTTAGGAAATCAACAAGTGCCCATTCACCTTAACCTTCAGGCTACCCAAGTTATCAATAATCTTAATGCAAGGTCTAAGTGCTAAACAAGTACTTTCCTTTTTTCAAGTACTTTTTGAACTCAAACTCCAGACCCATCCTAAATCAGCTGTTTGTACAAATTAGTGGACTGTAATTAATCAACACTTTAATGTGTGAGCAGAAATCTTTATCTTAATTTGTTGGGGCAGTTTATCTCAATATGTAGGATTTCACTCAGCTAAGTGAACAGAAAGTTGCACTGAGCTTTTGCAAGTGTTCATCTGAAATCAGCTCACTCTCATGTCAGCAGGCACCATGCAGAAGACACCCAATTCAGCAGGGTCAGAATCAGAGCAATGCCTCACTGCACCTGAGCAAATAATGTGTTACCATTTTCACTCCCTTTCTGCTTTTCAGAGTGTTTCGAAAATAGGAGTTTTAGTTACGAGAAAGCCACAAAGAAACACTTGTGCCCACCTGCCCATTTCCTTATGTAAAAGATGTTGCTTGAGAAACACTTCCAGAAAAAATAACTCACTTTAAAAAAAAAAAAAAAAAATAAAAAAAATAAAAATAAATAAAAAAATTGCATGTTTCTTCTTTGGTGCTTTCTTGAGATAAAATGTGTCTTAATATTTTTTCCAGACATTCGGGACAGTGGGGGACCTAAGCCTGTGATGGTGTATATTCACGGAGGGTCCTACATGGAAGGCACTGGAAATTTATATGATGGCAGTGTTCTAGCAAGTTATGGGAATGTGATAGTCATCACAGTCAACTATCGCCTTGGGGTACTTGGTAAGAAGCTTTCAGCTTTCCACTAATCCCTGATATCTGCAATTCATATTATATGTGAGAATGTACTTTAAAAAAAAAAAATAGGCAGAAGAGCGACAACAAGTGCTTTTACATTTTCTTTGTCAAATAGAAGGTTTGTATTCTGGGGATGGGATATAAAGATATTGCAGGTGTTTTCTGGAAGAGCCTGCTGTCATGCTGCATGAAGCAGGTATTGCTGAGCTGTCCAGGGACAAGAGCTTCTCTTTATTTTTCCTTCCCTCCCCCCCTCTCTTTTCTTTTGTTTCTATGAATAATACTGATGCTTTAGTTCATAGACAGGTAAATTAATTTTTAAAAATAACTTTTAAGCCATAGAGCCAGGGTTTTCTATTGGAAGGAAAGAGACTGACTTTTAAATACTGTGATTTTTTCATGCTTTGAAAAAGTGAAGAATGTTATGAAAACATTTTTTTTGCCTGTTTGCTTTGAACTTCATTGTGGTTTTAAAAGTGGTATGGGTGTCATTCAAGTACCTCCAGTGTTTCTTTTCCAGCTAATTAATTAGAGAATGAAGGAGTTATCTTTGATTGTTTCAAATACATTCAATAGAATGTGCTTGTGCTGTTGGTAGAGGTGTCTGGTCTCCTTCTGGTACCTTGGATTTATGGAAAATAAAAATCTCTCTGCTATTTTCTCAGAGTAGTCACACGCATGGTAACACCCACCAGCTCTTGAGACAGTATGGCTGGTAGGGGCTTTTCCTGCATATTCTACTGAAATATTGCATGCTAAGACTCCTGAAAGCAGGAGCTGGGTGCTGGGATGTAATAGAGAATACAACAGTAACTTCAGAACATTTACACAGGTGTGAGGGCATTCCCTGTGACATCTGAAAGGCTGTGACAGACCAAGTGTCATTCACAGCAGAGAATTTATTCTGGAGACCAGTCAAATTTATTTTCAAATGTCTGCTACTCTGCTTTACTTTTGGGTAGTTGGTTTTTATTCATCATTGCTCTGTTCTTGGTGTTGTGAATTTTCTTAACCTGGTCCCGAAGTGCATCGGTTCTCTTTGCTCACCTGGGTAATTGCCTTCCAACAGTTTCATTTTTGTTAAAAATTTGATACCCTAATTTCAGGGGGAGGGAATGGATTTTGGCTTTAGACTTTGAAATTTAGTGTACTGCAATTGTGTTTTACAAGAGACCAAATAATTTCCAGAGACATCATTACTATTATTGTCTGGATTTATTTCCTTGGTACTGGAGGTTTCATTTGTGATGTAACACTTTAAATAAGGAAGTTCTGGTTTTTGTATGGTTTTCCTCCTCCTGTTTTCAAATTATGTGATGACAAATTATGTGATGTGAAAGTCCTGGACACATATTAGCAGTTAATAATCTGTTACCTGTGCCTCTAATCAACATTTCAGTTTGACACCAGTGCCTATCTTTGATGTCTCAAACAACATTCTTCTGTATTATATGCTAGTATAAAAGAAATTATCTATTATCTGAAAGGGCTGTTTATTCTTGTATACTATTTAGTCTGATTCCCAAGTCATTAGTAATTGCAATGTTTAAAAAGACTAGTTGCTTGAAAGATGGAAATTAATACACCTTTATTGATGATAATGGTTTTTCCACCTGTAAATTAACACTGATCCCTGAGGTAAACCACAGCTAACACCTCACTGAGCTTAGGAGGATTTCACTTTTGTTCATGTCTTTGTGATTCTTTGGGCTTCGTGGTCTTTCCTGAGCCTCAAGGGTCAAAGAGCTGATTTTATTTGAAGTGGGAACTATTACACTAAAACCTCTAAAATTCACAGCAGAATCCAGTGATTGGTGTGAATACTTGCTACTTTCTGCAAACCCAGTGAAAGGTTTGCAGGGTTTTCTTAGTAAAAACAATGCTGTTTACACATCTATTGTATTTGTTGCAAAGCCTATCTGTCATATATTAAATAAATAATGCTGAGGTATGATGAAATAGGTAGTGGAGAAACAGAGCAACAATGAGAAAAGAAAGTTTGAACAGTTTAAATTTTTCCTGCTTTTCCTCATTTTCTAATCTACAAATACTATCAGAGTAGGATTGTGCATAATCATCAGCTTTTAACTTTGATGTTTTGAAACTCTTGCTCCTCCTTGTTCCAGCAGAATGCCACCCTTTGCAGTCACATTAAGATATGGATTTACAAAAGCACAGCTTTGTATTTTTAATGTAAATTTTTGTAAAATTCTCAGCTTCCCTTACTGCTCCTACCCCACAAGGCAAGAGGTGCAGCTCCATTGCCTGGTGCCTGGGGATACATGGATATCACCTCACCACAGGCAGAAGGAAAATGCAAGGAATTATTAATCACATGGGAAGATGTAGGGATGAAATAAGGTCTGTCTTCTCCATTTTATGTGGCCTTTACTGGTCTGGTTTCTTGTATCAGACTTCTGTGGATATTTGGCTTTACATAGGTGATCTCTGAGTCTTCTGCCTTCGTTTCACCAAGATGTTGACTTCTCCTAAACAAATAAACTGATAAATCATTATCATTCAACACATGCTTAGAGATGAAATAGTAACATTTTCTTCCAGACCAATCGTGATGGGACTGGGAATGTGTTTTGATATTGGGTTCCTCACAGTACTCCTATTAAGTCCACAGTAGACAGCTTTTGATGCAGTTCAGATTATTTTCCTGTTTATTCTGAGTTGAAAGATCCTTTGTTTCATGAACTAATCTCCTAGAGGAGCTACATTTTTTGGAGATGCAGGATTTACTTCTAAATAAAATGTTAGATAATGCTTAAAAGTGATATCCACTTGGTAAAGAGAAAACAATAATGAAAATAAAAGAATGATGGAGCAAATGCATCTAAAATGAAACTAAAAACAAAACAAAAAAAACAAAAACAAAAAATAACAAAATATAATATACTAACCAAACAATCCAACAAAAACTCAAAGCTCTGGTGAGTTCCCTGGCCCAATTTTGCCTTTGAAACAAGTCTGAGAATGAAAGTCTGTTAGAAACTGTCCTTAGATAAATATGATGGAAAAGAGAACTGTTTGCCCTGGGAAGTTGGGGGCTGCTGCATAGGAAGCCATTGGAAACACACTATGTCTTCTTTAGATTCTTTCTGAATGCAAGTCTTGTGCAAGCAATTTCAGCAAGAAGGAATACTGCAGAAGCAGTCTAACAGCCTTGAAGGACAGTGCAGATATATTTTTATGGCTTCTTTTTGGGAAAGGACAGATATGAAGACAGGTTTGGATTTTAAACTCAGCTGATAGGAGATGTCAAATGTTTATTCAATATATATTCACCTGGTAAAAAGCAGGAGCGTTTTATTTAATTTTCATTAAGAAAATGGAAAGGAATTATAAAAGGAGTCTATTCAACATCCAGAAAAGATCATGATGGACAGATTTAATACTGCCAGTGCTGTTTGCTGTGTTCTTTCTTATGAAAGGTTTATTTAGAGAGGGAGAATGTTTTGGGTCACCATTGGCTACTACTGCTTTCAATTTCAATAGTGGAGAGAAAGGACAGAGCTGGTTTATGCTAACTGGGAATTTGTTTCTCCATTTTATTAATTTATACTCGTTGCTCTTGGTTATCTTTAAGCCACAGAACTTTAATAGAACTTTCACAGAAAAAAAAGCATTTGTATTGAAGCTGACCAACTGAACAGGGGGAAGGAATAATGACTTTGAGAAATCCTAGTTTGAGCACCGCTTTAAATTTCCCATTTTTACCTCTTTAAGAGACAGTGCTTGTCCCTACAGAAACAGTAAATTGTCATTCCAAGGGGCTGGGTCAAAGGTGGCAATAAGTAAAAAGGAAAAATGGTCTGTATTTTGTGTTTTCAGTTAGGCATTCTGATAATGTCTGCCTTGGGAAGGCAAACATCCTAAACTTTTAGACCAAAATTCAGGTCAAAATGGAAGCACATCCATGAGTGAGATTGTCTTCCTTATGCCTTCTTTAATTATATGAAATCTTCCCTTTTGAGGAGAGTATAGGAACCATTACTGTTATTTAATCTTGCATTTATACTGTCACCCCCTAGTTTGAGAATGTTGTCTGGGATTACTGAAAACACTTATCCAGGTGTTCCACCACTTCAAATTTCATTTTCTTCCTGTTGGTTCTTTTAATCCTGCAAGTGAAGTCACTGCAGCAGACTGAAAGCTCTGAAAACATTACTCAGTACATTATTTCCCAAATAACTGCACTGAAATCAATGGGGCTCTTCAGTGCAGGGCATCCCCTTGTGACAGAGCCTGGCTGCCAATAATTTGAAGAGATGTGATGAAGAGTGAGGGTACTGGAAAGGTGTTTGTTCCTCTTGCACAGAACTGCTTCTGAGAAGAGCAGTTCTTAGAAATCTGTTGTGTTTTCCAGCACAAAACTCCATTTTTCAGTAGTGTGCTGTGTGAGCCAGCTCTGCTGGGCTGCAGCATTCATGCCAAATAAAACACATTAGTGACAGAAAACAGAACAAAGCAAAAAATACTGTCACAAAAACCCTTAACTCTTTTAGTTACTGCTGGAGCTTTATGGATAATTTAGGGACAGAGGATGAGTCTTATTATGCCATAAAATGTTTTGTTGCTGTGTGTCTGGATACATTAGGAAAATATCTCAGGTTTGATCACATTTGCTGCTGTGCAGAATGATGCCAACCTGCAACCTCTGACTGGCCAAAGAGGTACATGAAATACAAGGACACAGCCCTGCAGTAAGTGCTGGGCAACCTCTGCCAAGCCCAGAATTCCTGCCCTTATCCATCCTGCTCTCAGCAAGGAGCTGCACTTTCCCAACAGGCCAAAAAACACAATAAAGCACAACCTTTCCTTTAGCAGCAAGTTTATGTGCATCAGTGCTGTGGCAATTCCAGAATGCAGCCAGGTGAATCCCTCCATGGGATGAAGAATTATCAGCTGACCATTTGCAGGTCACAGAGATGAGGATATATTATAATGAAAGTTACTTCAGAGCAGCTTGGAAGTAC